CACCTCGACGCACCACAGGTCGAAGACGTCCCACAGCGACGAGAGCGGTGCTGGCCCGGTGTGTGGCGGTTTGAGGGTCAGGATGAAGGATGTCGGGGACACGGGGTCTTTGAAGGTGACGGTGAAGGGGACGAACTTGCGGGCGTTGGCGAGGATGGTTGCCTCGGATAGGTCGGAGGAGGGTGCGGAGGCGGGGAAGAGCCATTGGGAGTCCCATGCGACGCCGGCGATGGCGAGGGCGAGGAGGACGGGGATGGTGCGTGGGGTGAGGAACCGTTTGCGGGTTGTTGTGGATTTGAGGCGGCGGGTGGGTGGGAGTGTGCGTTGAGGTGTCACGGGCGTTGGTCGGGGTTTTTGAGTGTGAAGGTGATGTGAAAGTTGTTGGCTTTGGCATGGTGAGATGAGTGTCGTCGGTTTTTGGCGTGTTATTGAAGTGAAGGAGTGAGCGTGCCAGCACCGGGTGAAGCCCGACCGGGCGGCGGCGCTGGCGACAAAAGCCATTCTCCGCCTTCTATGAATATTTCGCAGCTTAAGATTACAAGCCGATAGTTTTCTGGGATATGACTGCGTTTTGTGCTTGTTGGCGAGGTTGGCGATGGTGACATACACGACTTGAAAAGTCGAGGTTGAGCGGACCCGCCAATCAAGTGTGAGAATAGGACCGGTCACGTGAGCGCCACAACGACGACGAGTATCTCACAATACGCGTCTTGATGAATCATTGGTAAGATACATTTTCTGATGCGTACCTTTAAAAGACACGGTCATTGTGCTTCAGGGGTGGTCCAAAGTACTAAGCTGTTGAGTGTAGTTGAATGTCAATGCCGATGCCCCTTTTCCTTAATACAGCCGTTCAGGTCTAAGTCTAGTCCACGCTCGCTAGAGTGGTGGTTTCCTCTATAATACACTGCAATCTTACACTGTCTATTCCTTCTTCATATCCTCAGAATCTTCCTGTTCTGGTCGATGCCGCCCCGGAACATGTCCGCGACAACCCTTCCTCCGAGAACCGTCTCTCTCACGATCCCCTCGACATGCTTCGGCTCAACGCGCCCATACCAAATGCCCATCCCGGCAAGCGGGTGCTTCTCCCCGCCCTCCATTCTCATGTTTGGCGGTATATAAACAATAATGTTGCCGGCAAACTTGTGTCCCCCAATGTGGCTAATCAGCCCAACCCGCGCCGACAACCTCTTCTCCTCCTCCCCAGGTGGCGCCGCAATCCTCCCCGTCTCACCCTCATAGACCTCAACAGGGCCCCTAGAAACACCGACGCCCAGCCCCTCAAGCTGCCTCTCAAACTCGTCCCTAAGCGCCGGGCCCATCACGCCGCACCGCATGTCCCGCCCGCCGTGCCCGCACACCAGCACCAGCACGTCCTCCACGTCGCGCACGCCGTACAGCAGCGACCGGTACGCCTCCTTGCGCGTGAGCCGGTCGCGGTGAATCGGCGACAGGCCGTCGTGCATCTTGTGCAGCTTCTCCGGCAGCAGGTAGCCCTTGGCGAGCGCCTGCACGCTGTCGAAGCTCACCCGCGGCAGGAAGGGCACGTACTTGAAGCTGGGGAGGAGGTACGCGCTCGTCGTCTGCAGCTCGCTCCGCTTCGGCACGGAGGAGGGGAAGGAGGCGTTGAGGACGGAGATGTTGTGCCACGGCTGTGCTGTCGTCAGTCTTTGTTCTCACTTATAGCATGCTCGCTCATATCGCCACCATCTGTTCATCTCATTTGACGGAGAGAAGCAAAAACTCACATCGCTATACGTCCCACCACGCCCAAACAGCTCCTTCAGGTCCGCAGCCAGGTTGTCCCCGCTGTTCTCCTCCTCGATCCTCGAAACCCAGTCGTCCTTGCCCGTGCAGACGAGCACCTGCTCCGCGTACGCCGACACGACGCCGTTCAGCGGGCTCTTGAAGTCGATCGGCAGGCCCTCGGGCATCGCCGGCGTCTCGGCACATCCACAGGTCGGCGACGGACACGTCGGGACCGTCTCGAACGGGGGCGGAGGCGGCGGGGGTCTCGCGGTTGACGACGACTTGGCCGCGTACGCCCGCCGGGACGAAAGTGGCAGGTGTGTAGTGGGCTGCCGCCGCGCCAGGCGCGAGACTACTCTCGCCGGTAACATCATCCGACCAAAGCTGGAATGCCTAGACTCGGCTTCTCGCAATTGATCTTGCTCTAAGGTAGTCAAGGCGGTTCTATCAAACACGGCGGCGATGGACGGAAGTCACCAGGGGCCGTCCGGCACGGTAGACAAGACACAGCAGCCTATGACGTTCGGGGCTCGGTGCGGAGCCCGGCGCCGAGCTGGTGGGTTCCAGGTCGCGCGCGCAAGGTCATGTTAGGTAATCCCTCGCACTTAACTGGCGCCAAACACCCGCCCTGGCCAGGTTCACTGTTAGGTGGGAACACTAACCCACGACCGGCAACACTCCCCCGAGCAAATCGGCACTTGTCCATACCTATTTGCACGTGAACGCCCTTTTCTCTTTCTTTCTCTCGCTCGCTCCCTCCCGCGCTCCGTACCATGTCCGAATTCCGTCCCATCTCCCACACCCGTCAGCGGCTTGTCAAGGGTCTGGGAAGGGGCAGCCCGCCATGCGCCTTATCATCCCAACCGGGCGACTCGGAGCCGACTGAGGACGGGTTCGGACTTTGCTTCCCAAAACCAACCATGAACACCGCTCCTGTGAAGAAGAGGAAGCAGGGGCGAGGGGGGGCCGCAAATCCCAGTCGCAGACAGATTTAAAGATTAATGAACAACCTTGGGGGGATCGGACGGATGACCGGCCGGCCCCGAGTGGTGGTGGTAGTGGTGGTGCACTGTGGTCGTCCCGTCCGTCAACCTGGGCTCAGCTCTTTTGTCCCAAACCCCCTGAATTCCAAAGGAGCCTCACGAACTCCATTCCTCGTTGCAGCGCGCAATTCCCCGTCACCGAAACAGGGCCCCCTCCCCCCGTCGCTCATACCTAACCCAAAAAGCGGGTTGCCCTTTACGGCCCCAACGCAGGCGCAAATCATCAACGGCACAAAAAAGCGAAGTAAGTCAGACATTCGCGCGCGCGAGTAAGCAAAATAAAAAAACGACGACCCGTTCTCCACGGCCCGGACCACGGCACCGCAGCGAGCGTCGTAAAGTCTTGGCTTCCATTGGGCCGATCGCACTTTCGAACCTTGACCGAGATATGTGTCTCGACTTTCGTGATTTTATTCCCGTAGCATGCCACCACAGCACAGCACATCCCGTTGCGAGACATCAGATCATGATTAGATCGGATAACGGGCCTTTGTGCGCGCTAGTTGGACTACTTGCTACCTTACCTTTCCAGCTTTCCCACAAAACTAGGCTGAACCTGCTTAGCACCCACGGCGCTGTCACGAAAAGAGTAAATGCTCAATGGTATGGGGGCCGCTGGCTTTGATTTACATGACTAGCCATACGCGCGAAAAGAGAGGGGTGAGGACGGACGGTTGAGGCATGGGGGTGATGGGGGCAGGCAAGGCAAGCACATCATATCAAATTCATAAAAAGACATACACAAATCTTGCGGCTCTTTCCCCCCCTCCTAATTGCGGCCCCCCTCTTCCCTTTCGGAGGGCGGGCGGGATATCACGGCCGGTATTAACAACCCACCCACACCGGCCAAAGGAAAAAGAAAGCATAGAGTGAGAGAGAAAAAGAAAAGAAGGAGCCCACCATTCCACACACTGCAAGTTACCCCCCTTCCTAAGGTCATTCCCGCCGCTACCGATGACAAGGGCTCTCCGTCTGAACCTTGAGGGGGTGCGTTGGACGGGCGTGTCCGTCATTGGGCACAAGAACGAAGAAAAAAAGCACGAAGAGAAAAGACTGGACTGGACCGGCAAACACAAACAACAAACGCAGACTAACAAAAAGTCCCTTCTCTCCCCCTCCCCCCCAGCCCACCAGAAAATTTACCGAGACAACATTGCATCCCGTATCTGTTTTCGTGCAGCACCGCGAGATTGCAAAAAGCTCCCCCCTCCCCTTCCCCCACCGACGAGAAAAAACTCCACGACCGGTGTGCGCTGGTGACTGGTCCGCCACAGCGGTCCGACGAGCCGAGGGGTGAGGTGAGCACCGTATGTGGTGGCATGTATGTAAACTCGCGCTAGAATCTGACTGCAGTTGGTTCGTCTCATCCAACGAGGAACCTCCAGCACTCATCCTTGAAACTATGGAAGTGAAAATACAGGGCTCCATGGCCCCTGTTGGTCCTACCAACAAACGTTGCCGCAGATGTGGCAACATGCCCGGCCGAAAGAAAGAAGAGAAGCATATTCCGGTTCCTACGGGATGCGCAGTCTGGCAGGGCTATCCGTACCGGCTTCAATTAAACGCACCGTTGAGAAACCGAGCCGAAGGGGGGAGGGGGGCAGGCTGCCGTCGTATGCCGCATCCCGCATGCCAATCATGCGGCCAACCTGAGACATGCAGACCGATCCCTCCATTCTGCAATATCACGGCCACAAGGGATGATGGATGATGCGGCGGAAAGATCTGGTTATTTTTCCCTCATTTTATTTGGATTTTGGTGGCGTGAGTTACATCACATCGCGCCCTATGCTATGCTTCTTCGTCTCTCTCTCATCTCGTGTTGCCTGGTTTAGCTCCTCCTGGGGCTGTCTCTATCTACGAATGCAGTAGGTGACAATTGCCCGTTTCTCACCCTCTTCTCTTCCTCTTGCTGTCTCTGCCCAACCCTTGATTGGCCAGCCTGTTCATCCGTCTTTTCTCATGTACAGGGTATAATGATAAATAGACAAGAGTCTAGCGAAGCAAAACTGAATGTGAACAAAATTCTGGGCGCAACACCACATGACTGCTTCGTGATAATCTCATCGTGCAGGCCATATATGAGCGTTTAAGGCCGTCAGTACGAAAAAAGCAAGTAAAAAATTCACGTGTCCCCAGACGCCGTAAATGCAATGCATGTGGAAAAAGAAAGAAACAAGTCTGGTGCCGACGTGGCTAGCTGCTTCAGCTTCGAATGTATACGAGATCCATCCTTCGAGGAAATGTTGTGCCCATTGGATCGTCCATCTGCCAACACCTCCCCGCAGGCAGCTTGCTATCCTTGCTCTCTTCGTGATCAAACACCCTGCTACCGGCGAGGGGCGCGTCGCTGGGCTGACGATCCCGCAGAGCACGTAATGCATCGAGCCTCTGTTCCATGGCCGATTGATGGGCCCGAGCCTCTTCCCATACCATTCCCGCAGCATCGACAGTCGCCCTTGCGACCGCGAGCCGATCCAGAAGGAGCGAGACATCCGCCAAGGACCCCTCCGCCGTGAGGACGTCAGTAGCCTCGAGGATGACGTAGCTCATGAAAGGAGGCGGCGCACTGATGGGAGCTCGGCGGCCCTGGAGCAGCACTTCCAACATGCCCGTGATGTCCAGAACCCGCGTTGCTTCCTCATGGATGCGCGTTTCGTATTGTAGCCGTACCGAGGCAGCGATCGACTCTGTCCGGACGTGTCGATGGATCTTCATGAGCCCGTGGAGATATACCAGGTGGATGGTGAGGAATGTGCTGAGAGTGCCATCTTGTGCAGCCAGGGCCATATTGCCCGAGCTGTAAGTGAAGCACTCGGGCAGGGACTCGCGCCATCCGATCAACTTCTCCATCACGGTGTCAATGAAGCCCGCGGCGTCGTAGTCTGTTTCTTGGCTTTGGGCAGCCCTGTAGAGTTCAGACATAGCCTCACCCCAGATGGCCACAAGCTGGACCAGGTAGGCCAAGATACCCAATGGCCGAATGACGGCTTTGGATGACATAGCCATCGCTGCTGGGAAAAAGGAAGCGTCGGATTTTGCCTGACGTTCGAACAATTCGTTTTCGCATGGAAGTCGGATAAAGATGTCCTTGACGTTCAGAATGCTCAGCCGGTTGGGAAACACGCCGCTGAGTCGTTCCAGTACGAAGCATGCCCAGTAAGTTCGTCTTCGGCTCTCTGAATATCCATCTCTTTGCAAACCATAAGGGAAGTCTGTCAGGTCCGCTTCGATCGACTTTTCAAGTTCGAGGTTTAGCTGCAGATCGATCGATGCTGATATGGCTCCACTGATCAACTCGTTCGCGTCGTTCAGCCTAGAGAGTGACAGGTAGTACAGCGCGAGAAGCAGACGAGCCTGCGTGAGCTGAAGGTTGCAAGCAGCTCGGTGCTGCGCGTAGTGGGCGATCTGGGCGTATTCGTTGGCGATGTTCTTGGGTCCTCCTGACAAGGCTACGCCGACGGCGAGGATGCTATAGATGAGCATCAGGTCTCCTGGAGACTTGATATAAGCATTACCGGTCACCCAGGATTTGAACGCTGTCTCGGGCAAAAAACGAAGGGCCATGGTGCTGTCGGTGTGTACGAAGAAGGAGGAGATTAAGGTGCTAATTGATTCAGGGTCGGACACATACGGATCTGATTGCCATGCTCGGTTGAGCAGGTGGTCTTGGATGGGAGGAAGCTCATAAGGCTGGCGATGCTGCCAGGAGAGGCTCGCCCTGGGCGCCTCGGGGGTGCGATTCAGCGACGGCGGCTCGCTTGCCATGGACGGGTATGAATCAAAGTCCAACCTCATCCTCTTGTGAGACATTGGAGGCTCCGGACTGGGCTGGCGCAAGGTCGTCCGGGGAGAGACCGAGGCGCTGGAGTTGCTACCAGGTCGGTGCATTTCACTGGCAGGACCTCCCATTCGCCGGACATCTTCTGGCTCGGCCGCAGCTGTCGATGGGGACGTGTTGTGGCCACCTCGAGGTCTGATTTACTTCCAATTAGCAAAGCACGCAGAGAAACGGACCGCCCGCTTGAGGCGACTCGGCGATTCACTACTTACGCGTTCTTGAACTTGCAAACCCGGCCAAACTTCTCGCACTGGACGCACCGAGGGAAGTCGGGATCGCACTTGATCTTCTTCTCTCTGCACGTAACACAGGCAATCGCGAGCCTCTTCCTTGGCTTCCCTGCCTTTGTTACACCCCAGTGTGCGTTGACTTGCTCGCCGTCGATGATGGTCTTGCAGTGGCTCCCGTCGTCGTAGAAGAAACACAAGCCTTCACCTGGAACTTCGGCAGCCCGCACAAAACGCGGTAAGAAGTGTGTTCCGGTCCAAATCTTGGGCCCAAGACCATCCTTCGATGGTATTCCGTCTGAGTTCGTGGCACTTGTAAGGGGTTGTGACTGCATCGGGCCGGATCCCGACGAAGGTCGTTGGTCTCGGTAAGAAGACCCAGAATCCTTGGATGGAGGGTATTGGTACGACGGTCTGTCGTAGGGACCCGGAAGCTGTGGCTGAGATGCTTCTCTTGACACCAAAGAGTACTCGTGTCTGCCTGTTTCGTGGTGTATCGACCACCTGCCTCCCAACCCAACGTCGCTTCTGGAATCCTGACGCATGTGCTCCGTCTCACGATAACGAGGTGACCCCGGCCCTGAGATAGATTGAGACAAGCCTCGCAGCGCCTGCCGGTCATGATCATATCTGTTGTCATAAGTGCTCCTCGGCTGAGAAATAGCCGGAGAAGACTGCGGTGGGAAGTAGGAACCCCCGTACGGACGATCGCCATGAGATGGAGGGAGACGCGGCCGATCCAGAGGAGATGTAGCTGGATACCCGGTAGGCCTGTCAGACAACGGAGAGTGCAACGGCCCGGCCGCAGGCCCGAGGATGCTGCTCAGTGGGGGGAGTGACAGGCGAGGACCGCTTTGTGATGAATCTCTGCGGTTCGGGAGCTCTGCCATGCTCTTGTTTGCCATGTCGGCGGCCGGGCTTTGTTCATAGTTCGACATTGGAGGAGATACTGGTCCGAATTTGGCGTTCCAAAGCTTCTCTGCAGGAGGAGACGGTCTGGAGGAGTAAGATGATGAAGATGGGCTAACCAGCCCGGGAGGAGAATCTGGGGCGGCCAAACGGGGGTGGGGTTCCAGAGTTAAAATACCCATTGAAAATGCGAGTTGACGTTGCAGCCGTTGAGCATTTCCGGCTTGGAACCTCTTACGATCGTCGTCGTTCCCAAGGTCGTCAAGGTTTGGACCGTTGACCGGCAGGATAGTATGTGGACGAAAGCTTGAGAAGTTGGTCGAAAGACTCAGCTGTTCAGCAGATCTGGGCTGCAGACGGCTTTGATATTAAAGTTCGTAGGCCACGGCCGGGGGGTGAGTTGAGAGAGGGCGACTTCGGAACCCGCAAGTTCGATCAGCGAGGTGTGAACGAGAGAACGGACTGTCGTTATACTTGATGCTTGCTTCGTTATGGCGGACTGTTCTGTTACTCGTTTCCTTCGCTTCTTTCCTGGCTATGCCAACAAACAGAGACAGGTAGAGTGGAACGAAGAAAGAGAGAAAGAGTCTGAGGTGTGAGAGAGAAGGGTACGATGGAGACGGGTGGCTTTTGAGACTCGGGAAGAGCAAGGTAGCTAGGCAGGGCATGCGCGGAGAGCGCCTCCAAGTATGGATCGCATATCCTATCCACATCATAAGTATACTTGGCCATAGGGTAGTTGGCCTGCTACCCCCGTTAGGCCACACTCAGGGTAGCGAGCTGCGAGAGAGATACACCGAGGGGCCAAAAGGAGACACTAAGGATGAGGACCAACAGACTGGATTGGCTTGGCTCGTTAGATTGGGGAAGGGAGCCGGAAGGGGCACCGATAGAGTGCTGCAAGTGTACACGACGGGTTGGAAGTACCGTTCGTTCTAGGCGCACACACGTGTGGTGCATCTTCCATGGCCCTCGACTGCGTCTCCGCCGTCTCGCCTGCTTGGTTAGGACGAGGGGGTGAGGAGGCAGCTAGTCCGACCTAGCGCCTCATCGGCACCGACGGCATGGCGTGTACCAGTGGCCTTGTCGACGGTTGCGAGGGGGGGAAGAGACGAGTTACCGCGTACCTCCTCTACGTATTTCGGAGGCACAATTCGCATTCCCTCGAGGCATTAGTCTGACGGATAGGGCCTCTGGCCAGCGTCGCAGTGTAATAAGGCACAGCGATGGTAAAATGGGGCAGCTGGGTCTAGTTATGCTCGATGAGGGAATCCTGGTTGCATGCTGACAGGGGTCCAACAGAGTAACGGGGATTAGATGCAGCAGAGGGGTGGCATGGGGAGCGAACAAGAGAAGCCGCGAAGGGAGGAGCTCCCGGTACATAGTAGACGCCCTGAGAGGGCTGGTCAGGGATGGCATGGAGCTGGTAGGGGGGGTTCATTGAGCTGGGGCACCCTTGAACTCTTGGGGACGGGAAGGATAAGACGGGGAGGCTGCGAGAGGCGAAAACGTGTGAGGCATGGTCCAGGTTCTGAAAAAGGCCAATATTTGGTGTTGACGTTGCAAAGGGGAACGAGATGACGGCATCGATCCTTTGTGCTGAAGAGGTCGGATGAGAGATGAGATGGTTTTTGCGGTAAAAGGATGATGCTGGTTGGCGCTGCGTTTGCTGTTGCAGCTCTTCGACTTGGACGTTGCTGACCTATCTCAATGCCTGGGAACAATCCAGAGCCCACGTGCCAAGCCCAGGGCTCATCGAGAACACGAGGAAGAGAGAGAGTCCCGGCAGCGATGAGGGTATGCTTCGTGCCATTTCTCGTTGTTTTTGCTGTTGGAGCTCGAAGGATGCATGATGAGGGTCAGAAATCCCTTGCTGTGATCCACAGAGAGTGAGCCCAGATGGCGAATTGGACGTAACGAGATAGGCTCGGAGTGCCGGGCGAGAAAAGGAAATAACGAGAACGGTTCGCCGGTTGTTGGTTCATTCCAAGAGAGGTTGTGGATCTCGGCGCGGGGTTGCGCGCTGGACATCCCGTCACGCCAATCTCAGAGTGACATGGGAGGTACTCTCTCCACCATACAATGGGTGCCCGTACCAGTGCTGTCGCTGAGTGTGGCTGCTGCATGTAGGAGTATCCCGGCGAAGAACTTTCAGATGGAGACCCCGCGGCCAGAGTTTGAGCTTCGACAAGGGACTTGTCGTCTCCGAATCGTTCGTCGAATCGTGTCGTTTCCTGTAAACGAGAGTGGTCAGTGATGTCGACAAACAACGAAGCAATGTCAGAGAAGAGGTACTCGGGCGTTTGGCGTGAGCGCCAGTGGCGCAAAAGTACTTACCTGCCTGTCTTGGGAGGCGGCCAAAGTAGTGTAGCTCTTGCGACGTCCTGGTGGGCTTGAGGAGACAAGGTTGCCCGTCCCCTGCAGCGATAGGAGAGGCTAATAAGACGCGTCCGGCATGTCTTCGTTAGGTCGATCCCATTCCCCTGGGTACACTGTGACGGTACGGAGGGCTGCGAAGATCTGGACCGGACCTGTCGCGGACTGCAGCCGGCAACGCAGCGACTTGCATCGGGGTGCAGACATTGCAGTGCAGTGCAATGCAGCGCAGCATAAGGCATACGACAGGGCTCAAGAGATGAAGTTCCGCACCGAGGATTGCCGATGTGTCTGGGCTGGGAAAGGACCGCATTGGTCTTAGGCTTTGGTATGTGTGCTGAGGTCGAAAGAGAGACGGTGATTTGACTCTCGTAATTGTAGCCATACAGCGAACAGGGCTGAGAGTCGGATGGCTCTCTTCGCTCTGGTGAGCAAGTTCAATTTCACGAGAGCGGCCGAGGCGCAGATTCTGGCGCAGCGCTAGAAAAAGGGAGGAAGCTGGCTGGCTGGCGGGCTGGCACTGTGGCATCATGACCAGGATCAACTTCAATCCAGGGCCAATGCCTGCCGGCAGAATGCTCGTCTTGGCGGCGGGTTTGGCAGCCTCTCAGAGTCTTGGGCTGAAGATCGACTTGAGAGACAAGACAAGACTAAACAATCAAAGAACGAGACGTGTGGTTCGGGCTCAATGACGCTCCACCAGTCAGCCGTCGGCTGCAGTGGTGCAGACGCTAAACCAGGGAAGATGGCATAGGTGGTCCTGGAGAGAGAGAAAGAGACAGTGCCAGTGGTGTAAGTCGTGGGTTGCGTGTGGTGCGTAGCGACAACTGCTAGCGTCCGCGCCGACGCTCACTCGATTAGCGTTATGGTCCATCCCATGATCCGCGTGGCTGGAGACGGTCGAGGTGCTCCTCATCCGTCTTACTGGCCCGTCGGTCCCTTTCCGTGCTCCCGCGTCCGATTCGCCCGCCCGTCCATTATGTTTCCTGAAGCACGCCATGTCGAAAAACGTGTTCTTGGAGAACCTTGGACCAGTGTTTCGTAGGCGGCTTTTTACAGTTTTGCCGCCGACGGTTGAGCGTGGAAGAGAGGCATCCGTTCCAGTGGCGGGAAATTTGAAGCAGACGGCTCTGGCACCAAGGCGACGGGTTCATTGTGCGATGGTTGCAAGTTTGTGGGCTCTCTGGTTACTGTCTTGGGCCTCGGGAGAGCAAAGTCCATCCACAGTGTAGTGTCGCAGTGGCTCGGTCGACGCCGTAGTTCTGCCGGGGTTGAGTTGCATTGAAGAGCCGGAAGACGGTGCAGTTTTTGGATAATTTGCAGTGGTTTGCAGGGAAAATGCTGCCTCATGGCGCCGCCTGCCAGGGCATCAACGTGCACCAACAGTGCGGCGGCGTTTGCTTGACAGAAAGGAATGCCCCTCCATCTCCGCGCTGAGACAGCCGATGGTTTGCCGTTGATGAGGATCGGATCCGAGAGGGGACAGAGGCGATGGGGCTTGGAGATGTGGCATGAAGATGGAGACTGGGCGTCAGGTGGGAAAAGAAAGTAGACTTGTTGTAGATTGGAAAGGATGCGAGCTCGATGCGGCAAGACTAAGCCGTGGAAGTCTCCAAAGCTGTTGCCGTGCAAAGGTTATCCAAATACGTACCCTGTCTGTCTATACATCACATACCTACCTACCTTGCCTATCTTACCTTACCTACCTGAGTTTCCACCTGCACCGGATCTTGGAAGGAACGTCGGCAACTTTGTCCGCACCTTGCAAGGAAGGTTCGGATTGTTGCAACTGCAGTTGCGAGTGAAATAACACCTATGGAAGCCACGCCACAGGAAAGTTAGGCACGCCAGGTAGATTGCAACTCAGACGAGGCACCACCCCGTAATTGCCCATACATAAGGTAGTAGAAATACTGCGTACAGCTGGGCTTCCTTGAGCATCTGAAAAAAAGTTTACTTGGAAAAGTTAAGCGAGCAGGCGGCTCTCCGATCTATGGGTCGAATCTATGTGATGCCTTCCATCCCCTGAGCACTGTGCATCCTGCGGACGAGGTGTTGTCCTTCTGACCTTAGGTCAGCACCTTAGTGGCAGTACTTAATAAGGCACTTGCGAAGTTTGTTAGAGTGTCGCTCACGACACTGAGAAGGAGACAAAAAAAAAAAAAAAAAAAAAAAAAAAAAAAAAAAAAAAAAAAAAGCAGAAAAAAAATCAACAAGTCGGGTTGATGCTAAGGGACCTGTAGGGTGACATCAAACCTTAAGCACGCTGCCCGTGCTGGCCTTGCCTTGTCTTGTCGGAATGCAAGGCTTGTCAAGATTTGGCATGTGGCAACGGAATGTAACAGCAGGCGGACGGCTTAGGCTCCGTCTTAGTTAACAACTCGCATGCCTCACTCCCAACACAATGTCATTGAGTCTTACCTGCATTGCGGCATCTGCTTCAACTACCTGCCTGGCCTCGCAGTCTTAGTGTGAGCGCATCCATCCATCTGTCGTCCCTCCTCTGGCTTCAGACCGAACCCCGTCCGCACACCTCACCTCAGATGGAGCCCTGCTCAACCAAAGCCCGAAAAGCTTGGCAATGGAGCGCAAAGCGCAGACTATGTCCAACCCGCAATTCGCAACCCTCGCAACCCAGACAGGGGCCCTAGTTCGCGGTATTCCACACTGCCATTTCCTTCCTCTGCAGCGCGCGCACTTTTGCTGTCTCCGTTCCCACTGGCGGCTCGGGGAACAGGGCTCTCGTCCGGGAGCTTTTCCCGGTGCTTTAGTATTGACATGTGGATGCTACGCGAAGGGCATTGTCAGCTGGGGTTTCGGCCACAACCTCCAACACCTTTTTTCCCCCTTCCCTTGCCATATTGTTACCACCCTGTCTCTCGTCTCCTTCGCCTTCGCCTCATCCAGACCCCAGGCCAGGAGGCCTAGCGAACTGGCGCGCCCGGCCAAGAACCAAGGTGGCTTGAGTGTGGTCAACTACCTTAGCTAAGCTGCGCCTAAGGTGAGATGTCCTTCATGACCGGTCAACGTAACGATTGCCTCATTTGGATTAACGCGGCGCCGCAGCATGTCTGCTCAGCCTATCTCCGTGCTCTCCATCTCCAGCCTCTAGTATTTGGTAGCCCCGAGACATGCTGAGCTAGAAGCAGCATTTACACGACTTGCCTGCTACGTGCTGCTTGCTGCTTGGTATAAATTGTCCCGATGTGGGAGCTAGGGCAACCTGCGCGTTCTGAGCAGGTCTCCAACGCTGCGAGTGGCTGGCACGACAGGCTATAGCAGCACAAGGGCCCTGTTTGGTTCTGTTCTGGTGCCGGTGCCGCTTGAGAATCTGGGCTGGGAGCATCGGGGCGGTCATCCGGGGCCCCGATGACGGTTCTTCATCTCGCTCTTTCGCCTTCACGTGTATCTCCTCTGTAGATTGGCAAAGGTAGTCCCAGCGGATGCAGAGTGTGGGCGAAGCAGCGAAATAGGAATGGGGCCAGCTTTCCCGGCCAAAGTGGTTCGCCTCGGCTGTAGCTGTTGGAAGGCGGCGTAGCCACCAAACCCCCGTATATGTGCGGCGTAAGGTGGTGGTAGTAGTGGTGGTGATGGTGGTGGTGGTGATGATGACCGGTGGGTGTCGTCGGTCACCAAAGGTTCCTCTGATCCATCCCTGGGTGAATTGATGTGGACAACCTTAGCTTGACAAGGTCGCAGGTAGGCGTCGGGTGCTCCATGAGTCGACCGGGATCCGCCATGAGCGGGCACTTGTCAAGGGTTCCAGGCTTGGTCATGGATCTCTCAGTGCATAGCGTGGCCAGTGCCAACGCCAACTCAGTCAACTACGGAGACCAACACAGCGTCGCAGAGAGAGAGGAGACTCCAGGCCCAGTGTCTCTAACTGCCGTTGCGGTGCAATGTAAATCAAATGTACCGGGCGTCTCTGCCTCCACATCGCCAACCGCCGTGTCCGTACCCGGCGGAAACTGTTGCGCAGCCCGCAGCGGTTGTTGCTGCTGCTCTTGAGACTCGAGGTGCTGTTGATACGGATACCTCTTGCACGCAATGCACCCCATGAATGCGACTGTGACTTCTCACAGTGACTTTTGGCTTCGGCTCGGTTGAGAGTGGCAGAGAAGACGTCAGGGACCGCCCGCTATCCTCCCCTTTCCCCTCTCCTACCTCCTACCTACCTACCTTACCTTAAGGTACTGTGTACCATACACCATACATTGAGTCCATCTACTACCTAACCTGGAACAACACAGGTCCTCCTGCCTTCTTCCCCTTCCTTCCACCAACCGAGGCGAGGCAGGTACCCCCCATCGGCAGGTACGGATACCCTTACACACTACTAGTGGAGGTAGCAAGGTTGGCAGTCGCTCTCCGCTTCTGTCCACCTTCCTTCCCTCCTTGTCTGTGAACCCGGGTGGGCAACGGCTTCCTATTCACCGGCCCAATTCCAGAATTCCGGATTTCTGTCCAGGATTGTCCTTTTGGGCAGGAACTACGGGAAAGCAGGCGGCCCTTCCCTTTTTCAATCCCACCTCGTCTCGCTCGAGGAACATGTACCCTGCCTGGCTGAACCTGGCTCACCTTACCTACCTCGAGGCGAGGTACGGATACCTACCTACCTACATCGTACATGTTGTCATTTCTTCAGAGTCTTCATGTCATCAACCAAGGGCAGCGAGGTGGGCAAGGTGAGAATCTTATCTGCCCATCGTTGTTTCCTTCCTATTGTCTCCCGTGTCATCCTCTTCGTGCATGCCGCCCAAATTCCGTGCCTGCGCTTTGCGATATAGTGCCTGCCAGCCTGGGCACTCTTACCTTTGTACCTAGGTACTTACCTCGGTAGCGAGGGCAGGCGGTTTCCTCGCCATGCGGAATGTACCTGCCACCTGCCATCTGCCTGTCGATACCTACCTCCTGCCTCGACGAATCAACTTTGGATAGACACGACCTGCCCGGACAATTCCTGCCTTGCTTGGATGTTCATCCAATGTCGACCTGCCTACACAGACACCTTATTCAGACCTCCCCTTGGCAATTCTGCTTTTCCTTGATCAAGGATGCACATCTTTGAACAATTACGGGCGTCCGGTTAGGGTCTGGCGGATGCACTGCATGACAGCGCAAATCTTTCTCGACAACAATGCTACCGTCTATCCTCCCTTCTCCTCTGTCTTCCCAGCACCCTCGTTGTACCCGGCAACACGCGACCCTCCTCGAACCAACCGATAGTGCCTCTTCATACATTGCAGCTGCACATCAGACGGTACACTAACACGCATGACCTGGCCCGCCTGTGTTGCATTAATTGCCATCAGC